CTTTCTTTCTTTCTTTCTTTCTTTCTTTCTTTCTTTCTTTCTTTCTTTCTTTCTTTCTTTCTTTCTTTTTCTTTCCTCCTTCTTTCCTTCCTCCCCTCCCTTCCCTTCCCTTCCCTTCCTTTCCTTTCTTCATCCATTAACTTCTTTTCTTTCCTTTCCCTCTTCCTTCCTTCCCTTCTCTTTCTCCTTTTATCTCCCTTCCCCTCCCTTCTGTTCCCCTTCATTCTTTTATATTCCTCCTTTTCCTCCTCCCCTCCCCTCCCCTTCTTCCTTTCCTCCCTTGCCCCTTCCCTTTCTTTCCTTTCCCTCTCCTTCCTTCCCTCCCTTCTCCTTCCTTTTCTCCTTTCCCTGTCCTTTCGCTTCCCCTCTCTTCCCTCTCCTTCCCCTACTCCTCCCCCTCCGCTCCTCTTTCCCCCCCTTTCCCCTCCTTTCTTTTTCCTTTCTCTTCCCACTGAGCTTCAGTTTCTGGGCTAAGTTGGTGCCTCTCCTCCTCCTCCTCCTCTTCCAGCTGAAGTTATTATTCCCTGCTGGAGGATGGTCCTCGACTTTCACCTGCAAGGGAGCCCCAAAATTTCCATTGCTGAGCGAGAGATTTGTTTGAAGCAAGCTTTGCCCCCATTTTACGACCTTTCTCACCCCCGTTGTTAAGCGGATCCCTGCGGCCTGTTCCATGAAGTCACAATGGTCATTAAGTGAATGTGACCATTTCCCCACCCACCCACCCCGGTTGGGCTTTGCTCACCAAAAGGTCCCCGAAAGGGATCAGGTGACACTGCCACCGTCGTAAATGTGAGCCACTGCCACCGTCGTAAATGTGAAGCCACTGCCACTGTCATAAAGATGAGTCCGTTGCCAATGCGATGGTCATAAGGGTGAAAAATAAATCACTTTTTTTCCCTGCCGCTTTAACTCCGGACAGTCACTAAACAGAGTGTTGTAAGTCGAGGACTACCTGTCTTGCGAGGCCACCTGCCTGCCTAGCTACCTGTCTGCTTCCGAGAGCCTTTTCTAGTTTCTTGGGTTTTCTTCCCTGGGGCTTCCTTGGCTTCCTACCTTCCTGGCTGGGCTGGTCATTTTGGTTGCTGGACGAAAACAAGAGCGAAATGACAGGCTGAATTTCATTCCGGGTCTCGCTTCAGGGGCTGGGAACCACTTGGATTTGCTTCTGTGTTTTTTTCTTTTCTTTTTTCTTTCCCCCCTTCAATTATTAGCCTTTCCACGGTGCACCCATCACAGCCTACATTTGAAGTGCTTAAATTCCTGGCCAAGCCTGAATTTTCCTGGGGTGATCCTGCTAAGTTATTTGGGAGACAGGAGACCCCAACTGGGCATGATTTTTACTGAGTTTAGTTTACTTGGTTGTCCATGCACCTCGTACAATGAAATCAAACTCCATCTTCAGTGCACATCATGACCATGAAAATAAACACAAACACACATCCTTCACACTCCACACATTGAATTGAAAACCTGCAACACCAGGTTTTCTGGTGTTATTGTCCTGGGGGCAATAAGTGCTATTTCTAGCTTCCTCCCTTCTTCCTTCCTTCCTCCCTTCCCTCCCTCCCTTCTATCTTTTCCTTCCTATCATCTTTTCCAACCTTCTGTTTTCCTTCCTTCTTCCTTCCTTCCTTTTTCCTTCCTTTTTCCTTCCTTCCTTCCTTCCTTCCTTCCTTCCTTCCTTCCTTCCTTCCTTCCTTCCTTCCTTCCTTTTTCCTTCCGTTTTCCTTCCTTCCTTTTTCCTTCCTTTCTTCCCTCCCCCTTCTATCTTTTCCTTCCTACCATCTTTTCCTTCCTTCCGTTTTTCTTCCTTCCTTCCTTTTTCCTTCCCTCCCTCCCTCCTTCCTTTTTTCCCCTTCCCTTTCATTTCCTTCCTTTTTGTTTCCTCCCTCCCTCCCTCCTCCCTTCCTTTTTTCCTCTCTTCCTTGTGCTTAGAATGCAGCATTGCAGGCTAACTCTGTCCACAGCCAGTAGTTCAGTCCTGAGCAGCTCAAGGTTGATTCAGCCTTCTGTCCTTCCAAGGTCAGGAAAATGAGGACCCAGATTGTTGGGGGAGGAGCAAGAGGCTGACTCTGTAAACTCCCCCACTAAACTGCTTGTAAAGCACTCTGAAGTGGTATATAGCTATTGCTAGTCCTCCCTCCCTTCCTTCCCTCCTTCCTTTCCTTCTTTCCTTCCTTCCTTCCTTCCTTCCTCCCCTCCCCTCCCTTCCCTTCA